GAGAGAGAGAGAGAGAGAGACTGAATGAGAACGAAAAAGAAAGAGAGAGAGAGAGAGAGAGAGAGAGAGAAAGAGAGAGAGAGAGAGAGAGAGAAAGACGAATAGAGCGAGAGATAGTGAGCGAGATAGAGATAGAGTGCGCGAGAGATAGAGAGAGATGGGGAGAAAAAGGGACAGCCAAATTTAAAAAATAAACAGATAGATGGAGAGAGGGGGAGGGGGGAGATACTGTGCTCAGCGTGCAAATGAAAATAGACAACACAGACTGCACTCAGCGTGCAAATAGACAACACAGACTGCACTCCGCGTGCAAATAGACTTACCGTCTTGTCCGTCAAATCCTGCAGGACCAGCTGGGCCAGTCAGTCCAGGAGCGCCTGCGGGTCCTGTTGGGGGAAAGAAATGGGACACATAAATTTCAATATGTATTCAGATGAAAGTAAACTTTAGCCTCACAAATCGAAATTTAGGTCATACTGCAAATCATGGATATATGATTATGCTCCATAATTGTGATTATTGTTACTATTATTATAATATTTGTTATTATTACAATTATTATTGTAATTAACGTTACTAAAGAAAATAATAATGATAATGCCTGACAATGAACAACACATTCATAGAGGAGAATAACATTCTCAAGCGAAATAGAAGATCGATTAAAAGTTAAGATGACTAGTGGCTTCTGCCATGGCCAGTGAGACAAATTCTTACGTTCACTTTCACTTATGAATGTGCAGAGATAATTATCATTAACATCAAAACCATTGCAGTACACACGTGTAGGTCCATCCTTTTATGTGGAGGTTTTTTGGGGTCGTTGACCCGATCTGACTGATTCGTTCCGATCCGATCCGATCCTACCCGATCAGATCTGATCCGATCAGGCACTTTGACTGCTGGGTACACGACTTACTTACCCACACCACCTTTGCAGCCCTTCTTGAGAACGTCGTCCTTTGCGTTCTTCCCGCTCTGAACGGCGTTGTTCCGTCTGCGGCCGGAGAGTACACCACCACCGCGTCGTTGAGGCATGCCGGACACGTCGGACAGCAAAATCTGGGGAAGTGGGGAAAGGGGGGTGAGGGAGGTGGGGAAAATGGAGAATTAATGGTATAGGTTTAACGCCCCTATCAACCCTATTCATCATCCAGTGGCAAATCTGCGACAGACATCGGAGATTATGGTTCTTCATTCATTCATTCAACCCAACTAAGTTATTTAATTAAGAGGTGGAACCTCCAAATGTAACGTCTATCTCTGAAAGGACCTAGCCAAAATGAATAGGAAATTCGTGTGCGGTGCCTTCCCCAAGGAAACAAGATCGGACTGAGCCAATGAGTCTACATACCAAGAGGGGCCACTTCTCTCTTTGAGCCAATTAAAAAAGTGTCCTCAAAATTCGGTGGCGCCCTCTTCGCAAAAGCGCACCTTTTGCGAACAGAGTTATCCTACTTGAGTTTTAAAAAATCAAA